GAGGTGGTGGTGGTTGTAGAGGTGGTAGTAGTAGTTGTTGTAAAGGTGGTGATGATGATGGTGGTGGTTGTAGAGGTGGTGGTGGTGGTGGTTGTAGAGGTGGTGGTAGGGGTGGTCATGGTTGTAGATGTGGTAGTAGTAGTGGTTGTAAAAGTGGTGATGATAATGGTGCTGGTTGTTGAGGTGGTGATGATGTTGGTGGTGGTGGTTGTAAAAGTGGTAGTGGTGATGATGGAGATGGTCATGTAGCTGGTGGTTGCTGGGATCACTATCTCTGCTGTTGTGTGAAGCCCTGCCGTGTGTGTAACGGTCAGACTCCTCGATGCAGTACGCTGAAGGTGAGCGATCGCTCTTTGCTCTTTGTTGAGTGGAGACGTGGTTTTATCGAGTATGTCCCGTCTGCCAGTCCTGGTGTGTCCTTTTATCAACATAATCCCAGGTTGACCCTGACATGCAGGATCAGATTAGCTAGCCTCCTAAAGGTTCGAAACATCGTTGATGAGGATGCAGGATATTTACTTTTGCAATTATCACGATCGGGATAGGGGAAAAACAAACCGAAAGGAACCATAAATAACCATTTGACTGCTAACCGTATATATACTCGGATCAAATCCTAAGGTTATTCGGAGTCGTTATCAAGATATATGTATTCAAAGAGCTGCATTCGAAAAAGCTTGACATGTTGTGAAACTCAAAATTCTTGACGTGTCATTTCTCAAAACTAGATAATTAGTAGGTAGAAATTGGTCAAGACTTATTCATGATAGAAGCAACAACTATCTTTAATTAGGTAGGCTTCCGTTTTATCAACTGTGTTAAAGACAGTGTGAAAAAAAAAGAAGCAACAGAAATATTGTTTCTTACGACACTGCTGAGAATATCGTGGAAGGAAAAGAAATCAGATGAGGTAGTACATGATGTCTAAATGTGAAGCAGCGTGGGGGAATCAGGCTCTCGTCAATTTTGGGCATATTGAGTTATTGGTATCATCTTAAAGCTTGTTCATTTGTCTTGCTTTCAATGGAAAAATTATCCATCCATCTTCAATAGAAGTGGAGATATTTTGGATTGAAGGAGGTGGGGGTCACCTGGTTTAAGAGGTAAAATTAGCGAGAAAATTGCCGCCAAAGCTTGGTAAATTCCAAAGCTGGAGAGTCCATGGAAACTAAATTTATATTTTTGAGCCTTTAATCAACGTTTTTCTGTGAAATCCTCAAAGGAATGTGTTTGTAAATGGACATAAAAGGTGTTGAGCCAAAAAATAAACATTTGATAAAAATTGCTAAGCAGGGAGAAAACTGTTTTTTCTTTGATTTCATTATTTTGACGAGAGCCTGATTCCACCACACTGCCTCACAAATTCAGTTGGGTTTTTATTTCATCTGAAACTACTTTTGTGCAGCACCATGCATGCCAGGAAATGTGAGGATTCGCCTTTCTGATTTGTGTACAATGGTTTGAAATGGGCAGCAACGTTGCTGTTGGTCTTCTACAGGTCTGACACAAGATGTGTCTGCTCCGCCCTTTAAGAGTAAATGACGGCTGCTACCCATAATATACGTTCCAACCTGGCGGTTTTAATCGGAGTGGGAACCGGGGTTGAAACCCGCCACGCAAAACCGCCGTTTGACGGGTCAGAGCGTCATCCACATCACGTGCGGTTTAACCGCAGCTCACGTCGAGTTTTAAAATGGTGGAGTGTACTGAAAATGATGATTTGCTTGCAGCTTACGTGGGAATGTTTATAATCTCTTTAATTTTTGGAAAAAAAATATACAAATTCTTTTTGGATCTTGCCTTAAAATTGGGTCGCTCGTTTAAAAAATGTGAACACATTTTATGTGTGGTAAATCATTTTGAAGAGATTAGTAGTGACAAGATAAGACGGCTACTCCTGTGACGTCACATAAAGGCTGGTCGACGGAATGTGCTGAACTGTGGTCAGAAAATCCAAACATGTTGAAACCGCGGGTTCGGCCTCCCGGTGTAACTTTTTACTAGCAGTTTTTCATCCACATCTGTGGTTCTGCTGCCAGGCTTGCCTTTCCATTCTGAACCTTCAGTTTGGAACGTTTATGTGTAGCTGCCTTTTTTTTAAAGTTTTAGTAGAGGTTTTACGGCGCTCGCAACTGCATAAGGTCATATGAGCGCCAGAAGATTAGAGATGTTACAAGAGATGAGTAACAAAAATAAAAAGAAGAAGGGGAGAAAAGGACGATAGATGTTTCATAGGAAAGAAGAAGCAAACCACACCAGAGCGCCCGCCAACCACCCACTTAGCCGCCTTTAATGACGGCTGCTACTCACCCACGATGCGGACTTCCAGCGGCCAGCTGCTGGGTGAGTTGCCTACCCTGTCGTTGACCTGGCATGTGAAGTTGTAGGTTCCCTTGGATAGGGCCGGCAGTTTGACGATCCCCCCAGGGTTTCCTGAACTGACCTGCTGGTCTCCGTTAAAGAAGCTGTACGTTCTGCCTGGAACTGGGTACTTCATGCTGGTAATGGAGTCTATGTTCTGGAAGCCGGCCCAACACCTGTGACATTGGAAGAGATAAAGAGAGGCGGGGGAGGGGGGAGGAGAGCGGAGGGAGGTGAGAGAAAGAGAGGAGGGGAGGGGA